AGAATTCTGACTTTTTTCTCAGAATTCTGACTTTAAGCTCAGAATTCTGAGAAAAAAGTCAGAATTCTGAGATTAAAGTCAGAATTCTGACTTTTTCCCATACTATACTGAAATAAAATAAAAAAAATCAGTTAACTTTTTTTTTTTTTCCAGTGGCCCTAATCCTCTTCCGTATATAACAGAGTTGGAAACTGCTCTCTTTGACCAAAGTCGCAGCTGAGCAGCCGTGAATCATACGTGAAACAGCTTCAAACAGAAAACGGCCAAACAGAAGAGCTCAAACATCTCTTAGAGACCCGCTCACTCACAGATTTCATAGAATATATTTGTTGAAATATTGTGAGATGAAGCCTTCACCTCAGCATTAGAGCATCCAAGACCTAAACCAGCAACAGGTGAACAGCTCTGAGCCATCATAGCTCTCTGTCCCACACAGTGGAGCCGGCTGAAGTTTTCTAGGAAGGGCTCCTTATGCTTGACGCACAGACATTCCTCCCAGAAAATGAGGCATCTGTCACAACTTCTGCAGTATTTATACTCTGTCCCACTTTCCCCCTGTTCTGGCCGGCTCTGGGGGTGCACGTTCAGCAGGAGCTGAATCCGGACACCACCACACTATACGCAGAAGAAGAAAACAGCCTCTTCATTCAGTAACCTTAGCCAGCAGAAGCTGCTCTTCACTCAACATGTTTTCTGTCTGGATTTGTCCGCATAGGTTTCCTACAGTAGGTCCTCCATGTGGACAGAATGATGTGTCAATATGTCATAGTGTCAGGGATTGCTGAAGAGTCAATATCTACTGTCTCTACCTGCTCGTTCAGGAGGAAAGAATCTTGTGAAGTCAATGACTGGATGCAATCAGTTGGCTTTCCTTATAGAAATGTATAACTCAAATGTATTTATTTTGATGCTCCCAGTCACACATGTCATCTCAGGTCACTTTATAGATCCAGATCATTTAGATCATCCAGTCAGATTAAAGGTTAAAAGTTTTCTATCTAAGGAAAACCAGCTAATTGCATCCAGTGTTTGAATCTGTCATATATGTATAACTATATGTACATTTGTTGTTGATTTAAGGAGGTGAGAGAATTTGCCGATGGAACAAGATAATTTACATTTAAAATAAGAAAAGACAATTGCATTGTCTAATTACAAGTGCATATTATCTAATGATCTTATTTTAACAGTAAAAATATTCATTCCATTGACAGATCATCTTATTTATCTGCTCAAATTAAGGGTAAATGTACTCAAAATAACTGCATTTTTATTTATTTTTTATATAGATAATTTTTGCACTGTAGAGGGACTTTTGCTGCTCCAGTTTTCAGGGGCCCCCGCTGTTTGCTTGTTGCCGTGGAGATGCCATCATACACCTGCTTCATTTAGGGTGAGCAGACTGCACTGGGTGGATCATGCTACTCCGTCCGTCTCCTGATAATTTGAAGTTCTGGACGACACAGACGCTTCATGGTTATTAGACTGATGTGGAATGATGGTAATGAAGCCTTCAGTTTGGGTTCAAACAATAAACACCTCAGAAACATCATCCAATCATCTGAGGACCCTCCACTGTTTCTCTACCAGTGTGATGCAGACACTGAGGCGGAAGCATTGGGAACTTCTAAAACAGTTCATTGTGATGTTCTGCTCTGAGTCCTTACCACTGGTTGTTCTAGATTTGCTCCATAAACAGAGCTCAGTGGGTAGATATGAATCTGAACCCATCGCTGTCCTCAATGACCACAGCAGGAATTACGTTCCTCCATAGATGATTACTCTCGCTTTATGGTTTAGTCATGGTTTTATATGCATGTTCTCTAATACTGATTATTTCTAATGGGTCTCTTGTGGTTCTATGTCTGTCCTTCTGTCCTTATCACCTTTGAGTTCAACCTATCAGTAAAAAGATGTCCGTAGATCAGGTCAGACGGAGCCTAAACTAGTTTCTCCTGGTGTCTGACAGCGGCTCACCTGCTGAGCTGTTTTCAGAGACTGGGTCTCCTTGGTGAACTGCTCTGTCAGCTCTTTAAGCTTCTCATTGAAGTTCACCTCTTTCAGGCGTAGTCGGTACTCGTTCTCCATGTACAGCTCCTCCAGATGCAACTTCAGCTCCAACATTTTTTTAGCCTGAAACAAACACAATCTTTAACTAAATATTACTTCTCATCCAGGTTCCCTTTTTCCTCTTTGGTGTCATTTTCTTTTCCACCTACAGACATTAACGTCTCAAATGTATGACCACTGATTGTTAGAGATCCATCAGGACCTTTGAAACCTTCCTTCTGATAACTTGGTTCTGATAACTGCTGGTGGGACAGGAGAGTAAGAGACCCATGAGTCCCACACCATAAAAATGGGAGATCTAAGAGGTTTGGTGTTATGATAAGGACAGCTTAACGGATCCACAGACATCAAGGTGAGCTGCACATATCAATAGATTTTATTCAGGAACATTCAGATGTCAGAGGGAAATCTAACAAATCAAGCTGAAAATGAAAACACATGGCAGATGAGGAGGAAGCGATGGAAGAAATTTAAGAGAAGAAACAGTAGAATAAGAGAAACCAACACAACGAGGGGAGCGGTGGTCTAGTGGTCAGAGCATAGAGCTTTGAATCCTGAGGTTCTGAGTTCGAGCCCCACTCCCACAGACTGTTGCTCTGGCTCCCTTAACCCCGCACTGCTCCCCGTGCAGCCCCCTGCTCCCCAAGGGGAAGGGTTAAATGCAGAGGTAAATCTCTAATTTGAGATCAATAAAGTCCAATTATATTATTATTAACCAGGGGCTGTAATGGCTACACTGGTAATTTTTCTGTTCTCTGGAGACAACTGGCTGCAGTTCACATACAATAGGCTGTGGCCCTGTCTGACAAAACAGTAGGATATCGGGGATGTGTTAGATTGGAGGTTGGAGCAATCCTTCAGAGCAGACCAAATCACTCCTAACCACCAGGATTATCTCCTTAAATGATCTCTGCTGTTAAAGGGTTGTCCAATCATGGTCAGGCTATAGAGGATAATCCAACGCATGATGGTATGAGCCATCAAACTCCAAAACAAACTGTGAAAAAGAGCCATGGATGTTCCAGACTGCTTGATCCCAGCCAGGAATTATGCCAGACACTCCTGGATGGCAAACCTAAACTGGTCTTAGAATAGATCTGAGGAATCCTCCTGCCATTTTTAACATCTGCAGGTTGCCATTATTGGACGTAATCTCTGGTCACATGACTGAAACCGTGATGGATCCTTTAATATATTTGAATGTTTTGGTTAATGTTAAGCTGAAGGAGTCCTATCTGGCTTGTGGCCTGGAAGGCTTCACAGGACTCCTAAGGGATCAAGCAGTTATTGAGGCTGGGAGGTTGCAAAGGCAAAACCTTGGGCCTGTGAAGGGTTGGGGGATGCCATGAAGAAAGACTCTTCTTGCAAACAGTCCAGTGCCTCTGGAGGGGAAGCAGTGCTTTTAAAACATTCTTTTCAGTGGAAGTGGGGAGCTGCTGACCCTGAATGAGGACATTATTGGCCAGTGTAACGAATACTTTGAGGATCTCCTTAATTCAGCTGACACACCTGTGGTGGAAGAAGAGATGGGGTGCTCCGCATCGGATTAATTCCTAACCCAAGCTGAAGTCAGTAAGGTGGTAAAAACACTAACCCTCACCCAAGAAGGCAAAGCTTCAAGCTTCCTGTTCAGAATCTTTGTGGACAGGATTTTTAGTTTCAGGGCCTGGGATGAAAACCAGTTCCTTCAAGTTTGAGGCAATTGTTCAAGAGCCGAAAATGGGTCAAATCAGTGCAGCTGCTGCTATAATGCACATGTTGAACTGGTCTGTTGTAGTAAAGACAGAGCTGAGCCAAAAGGCAAAGTTCTCGGTAGTCTATATTCTTACCCTTACCTATGGTCATGACCCAGAAAAACAAGATTCTTGATACAGACAGCTGTAATGAGCCTCCTGTGCATGGCAGCAGGGTTCTACCTGAGAGAGAGGGGGATGAGCTCAGTCATCAGAGAGAGGCTGAGAGTAGAGCTGCTGCTCCTCAACAACTAGAGGCAACTGCTGCATCCCCTAAAGCAGTGGTCTCCAACCCTGGTCCTCAAGATCTACTGTCCTACAGATTTTAGATGCATC